AGTCAAATATCATTGGTTGAGATATATTTTCTTGTCAAAATCTTGTTCTAGATCAAGAAAATCGAAGAAGTTGGTGAAAGCCAAGACCGCGAATGGTTAATTTGAAAAGTAAAACACGAGAAATAGGAAGTAAAATTTGAAGTCGATAAATAGAGTAATACTATTGAACAACATTTTAGAATAACGATGTGTTACTTGTAGTCCGTTATTGACAGAGTTGGGTGCTTCCTTTTTTTTGTTTTTGAAATTAAAATAAATTTTCTCCACTTAATAGATAACCATTTGCTATGGTGGTATTGTGTTCCTACATCATTTATTACTTGAATCATAGTGTGACATGTTTTGCTCATTATATGGATGGCACGGCAGCATATAAATTATTTGTATATAATCCATTCCAAACCTAAACACCACCTTGTCCGATGCAGCTTTTCATCGACATTGCAACCTTTAGCCACCCCTCCCATCGCCATAAACCGGATCGAACATCTTCAATCTCAATCATCTCTATCTTCTGTCCCTAATAAAGACCATCCCAATCATTGATGACCATCGCCATAATCTATCGCTGCTTACCATCGTCATCTTTGCCATTGCGCTGGTCGTGACCAGCCCTAAACAATTTTCTCTCAAACACCGCCTTTAGCCACCATAATCATGCTAGCAATTGAGCTCTTAAAACAAACTAGACCTGGCCTAAAACATTGCAAATCGCCACCGTCATTATGCTACCAACAACGAATACCGGTAGTGCACAGTAACATATCTAAGGGTGTGTTTGTCTCCCATTATTGGGAGAAAAATAAAGTAACGAATAGTATTTTTTGGAGAATGTGTGGTTGAAATTTAAAGTAACTTTATTGGTTTATGTGTAGAATATTTTATTAGGTAAATGTGTGGTGAAAAATATTACTGTAGCAAATATTTTTTGGGAATAATGGTAGACAAACAAGGGCTAAGTACCAAGACAAAAAATAGGTTACACAAATGTTAAAAATCACTAGCCCACTACGTCCTCCGTCCAAATTTGAACCACCACCACCGCGTCACCCACCAGTACCACTACCGATTCACGATTCAAAACCATGTTTTGTCACTGTCACGTCACGCCGGCGCAACGCTATTTGTAGCATTGTCATGTTCAAATCTAGATCTATATTCAGATCAACGATTAGATCCACATCTCGATTTGAATCTAAACGTAGATCCGAACAAAGAAATAGGTGGAGGGGTGGTGGAGGGTTCAGATTTGAAACACAAAAAGTGGGCACTTTATCTAACATCCTCCAAAAATCGTTTGTACAATGTAGTGGCGTGAAATGGCGGACCACCCAACATG